TATAACCTAGATAAAGACAAAGTCTTTTTAACTTAAATAGGTCTATTGTTAACTAGGTCCTTTATGTCTTTAAAAAGAAAAAGGGCTTATGTTATCTTACTGCGTTACAAATAGTAGTAAGGAGGGTAAAGAGGTTGATTTTAGTTAGACAGAAATAAGGCTAAAAGATTATAGGAAAGTGTTGTCTAAGTTATAAAAAGACATCCTTGCAAAGAAGAAAGATAGCTCTAAGAAGTTAAGAGTAGAGAATGCGCAGGGGCTAAAGCTGTAGTTGCTAAGTCTAAGCAGGCTGCACTCTAAAGCCTGTAACACAGTGTTATGTAGGTAATAAATTTAATATAAAAGGTAAAAAGAACTTTTAAAAGCTATTAAAAAATCTTTTTAATATAACTTAAAAAATTTTAGTAGAAGTTTATAGACTTTACAAAGCTCTAAAGTAAAAGTACTGTCTAGATAAAAGAATTTCTCTACGCAAGAGGGGAGGTTAGGTAGATTTACTAGGTAATAGATCTAGTTGTAGGTTTAGGCTACTAATTAGTTATGCGTCTTGCATTATGCATTTATAGCACAACAGGACTGTTAAGGTTACTATAGCCACGCGCACATTAAAAAGTAGAAAGGCTAGTTATGTGCACATCTCTAGCATAAATACAAAAGCAGAAAAGCTTTTTTTGTATATAATAACACTACTCTTATAAAAGTCTAGGCAGCTAGGCCTAGTTATAATGCCCTACTTAATAAATAAGCTGCTAGTAGTTCTTCTTTTATTAGGCACTAACACATTTTATCTACTAACTTAGTAATACATTTTATGTTTTTTATATATTTTTTTAACTTCTTTTAATAGCGCTTTTAGACATATATTTTACTCTTTTATTTTTACACTTCTCTTCTTAGTCACAGCTTGCGCACCTTAGGCTATTAAAGTAACAACCTAACTTTTATTTACTTTAGTTGCATACGCTAACAACTTCTGCAGAATATAGCCTAATTATAACTTAGTTGTCTAGTTTAACTATATAGCTAATATCCTTCATTCCACTGTGCGCGAAGGTAACGCCAGCTGCGCTATAGTTGTCGTACACCAGCGTTCTATCATGCGCCTGGCTCCTCACCTGTTCTAGATCGCCACGCAAATTAGCAAGTCTTTATCTAGTCTAGGTAAAGATAGTTTAGCGCTATTAATATCTGCCTAGGTTCTTATCTCTATAGAAGTCGCGCTTCTGCTTGCCCGTGCCTACGCATTTCCTAATAGTCTCCTAGCACATCTCCTAGCAACTCTCCTAACTGCCTGCCCTTTAAGAAGGCTTTATAAAGTCTGTTGTTACACTTCTTGCTTAAAAGATTAGAAAGCTATACTAAAGGTAATTAAAAAAAAGAAGACTAAGAAGGTAAAATCTACTAACTTTTTTACTATAGTAAAAAGTAAAACACTTAGTTTTAAAAGTCTATCCTATAAAATATATAACAACAAAAAGAAGAGAGTAGGGCCTATAAAATATAGAAGTAGTATAGCAGTAACTAAGAGATAGTCTTATTATGTGCAGAAAGAAATAGTTATACTAGAGTAAAAGCTATGTTATAACTATAGTGTGTTAAGCTCTTCTAGTCTAAGCTAATTTAAGATTATAATTCTCTGTCTATATCTAACTTTTACTATTATGTAACAGTCTACATGTTCCTTAAGTAGGAGCATAGTTATGTAATTAGTAAAATTGCTTTTATTCTCTAATGCTTATAAGTTACTACTTAGCATGTTTGTTATAATTAAGTTAAGGACCTTAACTATATTATTACGCTGCATTACTAAAAAGGGGGTATAGTTTCTATTAGGAACTATACTTGTTAGGACTAACTACCTCTTTACCTATTTATCTAGGAAGAAGTGTTAATATCTTAGTTAAAATAAATTACTTTTAATAAAAAGTCTAAGGCTATACTATTTATAGATAGAGGTATATTAAGCTGTAAAGTAAGCTTTTACATAATACTATTAGTAATTACCTATTTATTTTTATTCTTTTTAATTCTGCCTAGAAGGTTTTTAAGAACATGTTAAAGTGTGTTAACTATTTTACCTTAAGACTAGGCATTAGCGCCTATAAAGATAAACATAGAACCACCTCTGCTATAGACCTTATAGAAGAACAGTTTATACTTTTTGCATTTTAGAGACAATTCTACTCTGCTTAGCAAAACTACTACATCTTTAACACAGCTAGTTTAGACACAGTCTAAATAGTTAAGAGCCCCTAACTTTTTTATAGTGTAGAGAAGCTTATTCTACCTATCCTAATTACTAAGTAGCCTATAAGGGCGCGTTTATTTTTTTAATAGTGTAGGCATTAAAGTAAACTAAGTTATAATTAGAAGTAAAATTTACTAAGCGTAGTAAAGACTATAGTGCAGTTACATAGTAAAAAGTGCAGTGTAGTGCAGAGTGTAGTGCAGAGTGTAGTGAAAAGTGTAGTACAGAGTGTAGTGCAGAGTGTAGTGAAAAGTGTGGTGCAGAGTGTAGTAAAAAGTGTGGTAAAAAGTGTAGTAAAGAGTGTAGTAAAAAGTGTAGTAAAGAGTGTAGTAAAGAGTGTAGTAAAAAGTGTAGTAAAGAGTGTAGTAAAGAGTGTAGTAAAGAGTGTAGTAAAGAGTGTAGTAAAGAGTGTAGTGCAGAGTGTAGTAAAAAGTGTAGTAAAGAGTAGTAAAAAGTGTAGTAAAAAGTGTAGTAAAAAGTGTAGTGTAGTGTAGGAACTAAGGTATGTATTAGTAAAATAATTTTAGCATAAAGCGCGTCTACACTAGCTAACTAGGGTTTAATAAGCGCACTTACCTAAGTCTGTACCTAAATCGCAGCCTATGTACAGCAACACACTCTAGACAAAACACATCTGCACCCCACACAGTGACTATTGCTAGCTGTAGCGAGGTTTACAGAGGGACATTTTTGCAATATGCGCTAATACAGTTAGTAAACTTCTAAGCCTAGATAGACGCTACATGCAGTCTATAAAACTCTTTATACCTATAAGTATCTCTCTAATTAAGGGAATGCTGCTGTTATATATTAAGCCTTTAAATGTTAACTAAAGCCTTTTAGATTTACTAGCAAAAGCACTAACATTTAGTATACAAGCTTTATAATAATGTAATAGCTAATATAAAAGGAACTTAATTATCTATAGGCTTTATTTTATTAGCAGGCACCCTTTTTAGCATAAGATAAATGCTAGCATATACTTTACAACTTAGCTAGATTAAGCTTTTAAGTATTAGAATAGTATTAGTATGCATAACTTAGCCTCTTCCTAGATTAATAAAGGAAAGCTTATAAAGATAAAAGTGTACAACAAATATCTGCTGTATAATTTTATAAAGAAGTATAAAAATAGGTAAATCTCTTTAAAATGTAGCATATTAACTTATTATGCTTTCCTTTCTCTACTAAAACTAACACCTTACTAAAGCTTTGCAAATGTCTACTACACTTAAAGTTATAAGGCCTAATAGCTCTACCTCTTGCTCTGCAGATACCCCTCTAGGCAGCTCTAATCTACTACTAAGCTAGGGTCTGCTTTATTTAGATTTAATTACTACTATATCTCTAGCTAAGCTGCTAAAGGATGTAGTTAAAGCTGTCTAAGTAACTATAAAAACTTTAAAGGCTAATAAGCCCTACTTTAAATCTAAGGCTGTAAAGCTTTCTTGCTTACCTAGGTTTAAGAAAGTTAATAAAGTATATGTACACTCTATAGTATACACAGGTTAACTAGCTAACATATCCTAGCTAGGACTAGAAGGCGTACTAGTACACTATTATTAAATCTTTAAGTAACAAGCTTAGGAATTTAGACTACTACATGTTTATTATTTACGCGCAGATAGGTTAGTGTAATTACTATTAACAATGTGTGCTCTGCTAACAAAGGTACGCTAAATTAGAACATAAAAGAGATAATATATTATACTAACATTAAATCTAAGTCTTTGTAAAAAGTCTTAAGAAATGTCTTATAAAGTGTTAATATAGTTAGCCTAGATAAAGCAGAGCTTTTTATAAGTTAGCCCTCTCTATGTTAGAATCTATAGCTTACTAAGTTAAGATTAAGTAACATTTAGTATGCTACTTTCTTTTAGAGTTAGAATTAGTTTAATTTTAAAATAATGTCTATTCTATAGACTATATAAGTAAGAAGCACCTTTAATTTTTTGTTAACTATATTAAGAATACCTCTAAGGCTACAGCCTAACACCTAGGCGCACTTCTACAGAGCAGCTAGATTACTTACAACCTGCTATAGGCCTTGTTTAAACTAAATGCCCTTATGTATACAGCTTACTCTAGTACAGGCTGCCCTTAATATGTTAAGTATAATTTTAGGGAGTAAGGGCAGACAAAGTCTAGTTTAAAACACTAGAAAATTAAGTGCTACTATCTTAATTTTAACAGTACTAATTTTAGCAAAGCATTTATAAAAGTTAAGATTTCTAAGTTTTATAAAGTAAAGTAAATTAACAACCTCCCTACATTCTTTTTTTAATACTATGTAAATGCTAGTAAGGTTAAGGCTAACCTGCTTAAGTGTAAAAAAAAGTTTGTTTACTTAATTAAGACTTACTATTATTACTATAATAGGCAGGCTTTTTTTATGTATAAAAAAAAGAAAATTAGATTTTCTATTAATAGCTAAATTATAGTAGATACTGCTTTCTTTAAGATAATAAATCCTAATTACGCTAAGCTAAAGGTTAATAAAGACAACACAGGTTTAATTCTACTGCTTAACCTTCTCTGCCCTACCTAGCTGCTGCCTAAGCGGGTTAGGAGCGCTAGCTTAGAACCTACTAACTTAAATAAAGATAATTTACTTATTTGTAGCCCTACTATACCTAGGTTTAGCCTTAATAAAAAGATATAAAGTAAAGCATATTTTTCCTACTAGTAGCTGTTTTACTAATTTGTAGATATAGCAGAATTTTTAGTTGCTAGCATTAACAAGATCTAATAGTCCTCTGCACCTTTTAATTGCCTAACTATCCTAGAGGAGCAGAAGGAGGTTATTATAGCTCTTACTAAAGCCTATACTAATCTAGTAAACAGGTTTAAATTTAATAACTTTATTACTAAAAAAGGTCACAGCCTAGTTGTACTTTTATAGTATAGTTCCTAGAATTCTTATTTCTTTGTTTACTTACATACACTAGCAGCTCTTTAGGACTAGAAAAGACACTTATAGCTAAAGCTGTTACTAAACATTTTAAATAGCTACTTTATTTAGTGCGTAACTTCTGCCTTTTTTTACTTAATGCCTTTTAACTCTGTAGATCTCTGCTAGTAAATTAAGCACTAAAGTAAGATTACTTAAAAGAGAACTCTTAGACATCTTTTAGATTACTAGTTATTAGAAAGTAATTCTTTTTCTAGATAAAGTAGATGTTTATTTTAAGTAGTATTTATCTTATAACCTGTCTTGTAACAGCCTTATAACTGTATTTCTCTGTAAGCTAGAATATCTAAATAGGATCCTGTTCTTAATAATAAACTATATGTTTAAATTTAATAAAGCAATTCTTAGCTAAGTCTATCTTATGCTAAGATATAATAAGTTAAGCAGTAACATAAAAAAGTAAATTTAAGGCTATTTTCTTTTCTAATTACGCACCTTTTATAGAGCTGTATATATACATAATAAGAAGTTAAAACAGTTAGTTAGTAGTAAGCTTAATAGGCAGTAAGTAAGGCGCCTTAATTACATGTTAAATTAACCTGCTAACTAAAAACTTCTTAGATTAAAAATGCTGTTTCTACAGCCCACACGCTAGCTATAAAGAAGAAGTGTAGGATATAGTTTACGCACCTTTCTAAAGCTCTAATTGTAAGCAAGAAGTTTATGCATAAGTTTAATAAAGCAGAACATGTTACTAGCCTGTATAGTTAGGAATTCTGTAAAGGTCTTAAGAAATTCTAGTTATATAAGTAAGTTAGCTATAAAGGAAAGACCTAACGTACTTCATAGGCGAGTTGCTCACACACCTAAGTTGCTTACTTTTGCTAAGACCCCACTAAACCACCCTTCCTACACTAATGCATTCCCCACAACACTACTTAGACGCGCTAAAAGAATGTTAGATATAGCTTATGCTCTAAGCTTTTAAATAAAACATAAAACTCTTAAAGAAATGTGCTGTAGCTATGTGTAAAGTTCTATAAAAAATAATAAATAACTACAGCGCTAGACAACCTTTATAAGCTAATTCTATAGCTAAATTATAAAGGCTAGGTAATAAAAAAAAGCAGGTAATTATTAAGACTATACTTAAGCTATATGCGTAAGGAATTTCCCCTTAGATAGCATTTATGGCTAATATAGCTAATTCTTTGCGCGCTAAGCGTAATCTAGGCTATGTTTACATAAACTAGCCTAGTACGTTTGTAAAGCGTTATTTAGAGCTTAAAGTAAAGTTTTAAGCGCAAGTATAGTTAAAAGATATCTAGCTAATTATAAACTCTGTTTTACTAAAGTTGTACGTGTTATTATCCTAGATGCTATACTTAGCTTTAATATTCTTTATAAGGCTAAACCTGCCCTAAATTACCCTAGAACTCTTATAAAGAGCTCTTTTATAGTTGTACTTACGCTTAAACGTTACTTTAAGCTCTAAATAATGCTTTACAAACGTACTAGGCTAGTTTATGTAAACATAGCCTAGATTACGCTTAGCGCGCAAAGAATTAGCTATATTAGCTATAAATGCTATCTAAGGGGAAATTCCTTGCGTATATAGCTTAAGTATAGTCTTAACAATTACCTGCTTTTTTTTATTACCTAGCCTTTATAATTTAGCTGTAGAATTAGCTTATAAAGGTTGTCTAGTGCTGTAGTTATTTATTATTTTTTATAAGACTTTACATATAGCTATAGCACATTTCTTTAAGAGTTTTATGTCTTATTTAAAAGCTTAGAGTGTAAGCTGTATCTAACATTCTTTTAGCGCGTCTAAGTAGTGTTGTGGGGAATGCATTAGTGTAGGAAGAGTGGTTTAGTGGGGTCTTGGTAAAAGTAAGCGACTCAGGTGTGTGAGCAACTCGCCCATGAAGTACATTAGCTAGATCTAAATAGGGAATTATAAAGCAGCTTTTTATAGAAGCTAGTTAGGCTAAGTTTTATAGTTAATAATTTATGTTATTTTAAAAGTTAATTATAAAAGTGTTCTATCTAAAGTTATAGCGCTAGTAGGGAAGAACTTTAAGCGTAAAGATGCTAAAAATTACTTACTTATTAGCTAATTACACTAATTATGCTAAGCTAATCTAATCTACTTAGTAATATCTAAGCCTATGCTTAAGTACTTTAAAAGTGGCACACTAAGCTACTTATTGCTTAAAAGCGTCCTTTGCTCCTCTTTAGAGCAATGCTTACAGAGACTTTAGCTGCCTTTCCTGACCTAGCATTACTGCTCTGCCTATTGTCTCTAAAATTGTCAGCTCTACAACTGCTAAAGTAACCACAGGACGCCTGGTTGTGTCTACTCTACTCTTGCCTTTGTACCCCTTCTACTTTTTTAACGCTAAGGACATAGGTAACTAACCTTTTAATAAGACCTTATGCTATGTAGGACGCTAATAGCAATAAGCTGTTTAACACTTACACTAGAATTATAAAAGATAAGGTAGAGTAGCTATTATACTATTAATTATCTTTACTGCTAAAATATAACTTTAGACTAAAAAACATTTCTTAATTATATTAAAACATAAAATAATTATTTTATTAGTAAAAGAGGTATAAATTTGCTTACACCTAAAAAATAAATAAAAACTAAGAACACTAATAAGATTCTATTAGACATTAAAGCTTATATTAACTGTTGCTATTATTGCTTCTATTAAAACTATGTTTGCGCTTTTAACTATAATATATAATAGAATTATTAGGAATCTTAATTAGGTTAACTAAGCTATGTTAGATGTATAAACTTGTAAAAGTAGGTAGGATAGCTTATAGTAAGAATTACCTGCAGTTAAATTATCTAAAACAATTAAATTCTCTATGCAAAGTTAGCGTTATGTGCCTATAAATAACTAGTAAACACTCTATGCTAACTATTAGTATCCCCTAGACTGCTAACAAGAGCAGGACTAGTGTTAGTAAGACTATGCCTGCTATTTTTATTACTAGTTAGATGCGCTAATACTCTAGAGTAGCTAGCCTCTTTAGAAATAAAGCGCCTGCTATTTTAAAGTATAAAGTAGGCAACTTAGGGCTCTTAAAAAAGATTAACTATCTTAGAAAAAATAACATTATTAGTTTTATAAAAGTTAATGTTAGTAATCTAGAGCTTTTAAAAAGCAGGGTTAGTAGTCTTAGTTCTAAAAGTGTTAATATTAGCAGTCTTAAGCAAGTTAATGTTATTAGTCTTAGCCTTAAAAGGTTTAATGTTAGCAGTTAAAAGCTTTAGAAGGGGAGAGTTTATAATTATTAAAAAGTTAACATTAGTAACATTATAATAGTCTACGTTAGTTGTTTTATTAGAGGCTAAGTTAGCAATTTTAGGCTCTTAAGGATAAATATAGTTAGTAGACTTAAAAACTTAGAGAGTAATCTTATAAAAGGTAAAGCTAGCAGCTTTAGGCTTTTAATAACTAACTAGGTTACTAGCCTTAGTCTTAGTTTTATAAAAAGTAAGGCTAACAGACTTAGTCTTTTAAAAACTGTTACAGCTAGTAGTTTTAATTTTATAAGGAGTAAAGTTAAAGATCTTAGGCTTTTAAGGTGTAAGGTCTGTAGGCTGCATATCTTAAGGATCGCAATTTGTGGTTTCTTCCCCTAGAGGCGCAGCGCTGGCGGTGATGATTTCTTAAACTAAACTAGCGCGCATGTCTTTACAAGTTAAGGTAGCAACAGTCTAGGACTCTCTGCGTGGAGACCTAGTAAATCTAGTGTTAGACTCTTAAGATCTAGGCTTAGTGCTCTAGGTCTTTTAAAAAAGAGTAAGTTTAGCAGTCTCTACTTTATAAAGTAAATTGCTATTAAGAGTCTATTAAAAGTTACTATTCTTTTATAGACCTAACTTAACAGGCTTTTAAGTAATAAAAGCAAAACTTTTTTTTAACCTAAATTAGTAGGTACTTAAAGAATATAAGCATAAATGTTTAAAGTATTAAAATAAGTGTTTTTTTAAAAGTTAGAATTAGCAGGTTTAGTAATCTTATAAGGAGTAAAAAACGTGCACGTCTAAGAACTAATATTAGCAGGCAGGTGCCTAGTGCTGCTTACTAGGCAGGCGCTATTATAAATAAATAAAGCAGAGTTCTAATAAAGTTGCATGCTGCTCTTTAGATTAACTAAGAAATAATTAGACACTTACTTAAATTTATAATAATAGGGCATTCTTACTATTATCCTTAGTTAGAGGGTTGTAGGCCTTAGGTTAACGCTAGATGTTAATACAGCAGATATTCTTTAATTAAGGCTTTAATTAAGGCTTTAATTAAGGCTTTAAAGAAAGCATAAAGTAAGTATAAGTGTAAGTAGTAACTATAATAAAAATTAAAATCTTAATAAAGAAATATGTGCTAGAATTAATCTAAGATAAGAAGTTAAAGACTACGTTTCTTAAAGACACTGTCTAGCTTTATAAGCGCAACTAACCTCTATATCTGTAAATTAGAAAGGGGTTTTGCAATAGCGCTTTTAGGCACTTTATGCTGTCTTACTATAAATATTAACTAGGCTCCCTTTTTATCTTTAACACTACATAGGCCTAATTTATATTATAAAATGTATAAACTATATACCTGCAGCCTTAAGGCTAACATCTCTACTTTAATTACTTAAACTTTTAACATGTGCTAAGCTATTCTTAATCTCTTTTATTATTAGAATATAAAGTAGTCTATGTGTAGCTTATTATAAAAGTGTGCTAGCGCTACTTGCAGAATCCTAAACAGCAATAGCGTAATCTTAGATAATGTTTATCTGCAGGGTTTATAAGAATTAATTAGTAGAAAAGTGGCTAAGCTAGGCAGACAGAACAGAAGCTGTTAAGTCTAGCAACGCTATATAGTAAGATGCTTAATAATTTAGTATAGCATAGATAGCGCAAATTTTAGTTTTGTAAGTTGTAAATTAAAGATTCTGTTTATGTGCAGCGCAGTAAAAAAAAGAGCAGCAGAGAGAAGGTGTACTATTAATTAAACATGTTGCAGTTATTTGTAATGTAGCAGCTTACACTAAAGATATAAACCTAGCTAGGCGTCTCTCTTGTTACATTAGTGTACTGTATTAGTGCAGCAGACGCAGGATTGCTACGTTGCATCTACATTATCTGTATTACACCTAAGCTAGCATAATTTACTATGCTAGCTAAGTTGCATTACACTAAAACTGCTGTTCTTTGTTTAGACTATATATATCTAATTTTATTAGACTTTACTTTATTATAGCTAGGATTTAATTAGTCTAAAAAAGGGAACTAAACCTAGAGTTAAAGTAAAATAGGCTAGCAGTTAGAGCTAGAACAGTAGAAGCTAGGTGTAGATATAGAGTAGAGCACTTAGTAACACTAAAATTCTTTAAGGCGCAGCAAGGGAAAAGAGGCCTTAGTAAGGCATTTTTTTAATTAGATTAGTTTTAATGTGTAACACAGTGTGCAGCTTTACAGCTAGCTTATAGAGCAAAACAGACTAGGCGTCCTTGCTGTAGCAGTAATATAGGTTGCATAAATATTAATCTCTAACAAGCCCTTATTTAGCTAAAGGTTGTAATTTATTACTGTCTATTAATCTAAAGGAAAGGCTAGCAGGTGTAATATAGCCTCTTATGTTATTAGTTCTAAGGTAAAGACGTAAAAAGGTTAAGCTTCTACAAATTCTAAAAGCGCTACACTTAAAGTAGTTAAAAGGCTATAATAGTGTTAAAGACTTAAAAAAAACATAATAAAATAAAAGGTTAATCTATTTAAGACAGTAAATAACGCCTAGAGTTCCTATTAGTATAGAGAACATACAGACTAGAGCATGCGCAGGTATACTTACCTTTGTGCTAAAGCTAAGGAATGGTGCAGTAGGGTAGCAGGGGTAGCGTGCATAGTAGCGCTGTGCACAGAAAAAAGTAGGCAGAAAATAGGTTTAAGGGTTAAGAAGTAATAAGTAAAATAAAATAGAGACATAGTAAGCCTTTTATAGCTAATGTTAAATGCAGTGCTTATGTAATAAACATAACTAACTGTAGATCTAAGATTTTCTAGTGCTAAGAAATTGCTAGCTTAGAGGCCTCTATTTTTAAACGCAAAACCCTCTAGATTTAGAGGCCTCTAAGCCAGTCTAATATCGTTTAGGAGGAAAGCGTTTAAATTATGTGTAACGGGGCATATAAAAAGGATTGGTGGAGAACTAGTGTTTAATTTACCATCTTAGAACCCTAATACTCTATTAAGCATAGATCCTACCTTATTAGGCTTAGGTTGGAGCCCCGGGCACTACCTGCGGGCACCTGGGTACCTGAAGTTGATCAACTACAGGAGTCAACCACCCACCCCGAACACTGGTATGAATCAGGTTCGTTCTACCAGATTTACGGACGGAAGATTACAGGTGGTTCACTTACTGTGCCTCATCTCCAGCATGACCAAGTCCACGCACTAAAGTCGGGCTGAAGTAGCTCAAGCAATAACATACGGTGATAGTCGTGTAGCCGGTGCGTAGTAGAAGCCACGGACGCTAATTATCGATCGCGTGGAGAATCGTTTTCCGGCGCGATAATTCTGCCGGCTCTCCATGCTCGCCGGAGCTCGTGATACCGTCAGCTTGCAGACGAGCGACCGCGAGCTCCCGTTGGCGTGCTGTTAACCGTTTCGTGTTCGATGGATAGTCGAAAAGAAAGAATGGGGCGATAAATGCTGCGCCCATAATCGCGATCCCTTCATCAGTGAAGAGCCATCGCCATCCAGCAATACCATGAGGACCATTGAGAGAATTATTGATGAACCCCGTAACTATTCCGCCAAAAACACCGGACAAGATACTAGCACTGAGAAAGACCATGAAGCTCTTTGACTGTTCGTGTCGGCGATACCACGTCGGGAAAATGAGCAGGGTTGCCGAACTGAAGCCGGCCTCTATCACTCTCAGGTGGAACCACATTCTAACTAGCTGTGCTAGTCTGTGAACTGCAATCATTACTGCTGCAGCTGCTCCTTACAAAAACATCAGAAATGGTATGTATAGGGATGGCCTAGTTCGCGAGTGAATCATGCTGCCGAAACATTAAGATCAGTTCGATGGATCGCCTGTGATGGAGCATGTCTACTTTGATGGCGCCTCTGCTATCACGTAGCTAGCTTGGAAGACCACGACTGCAAGCAAGTATTGGGTGGAGCTGAGGCTAATATCAGTATTCATTTCGGCGACCTTGGCATTCCCGGTATTCAGCGTTTCCAACAGGAAGTAGTACAATTAATACTTTTGCTCTACCTACAATCACATAAGTTAAACAAACGTAACTATATTTTTAACTATTATAATTTAATTAATAAGGCTTAAAAGTAAGCAGTATATAATTAAAGTAGACTTTTTTAAGGTTGCAGTCTCTAACGCGCATAAGGGCTAGGGGAGTGTGTTTATGCTACTATTTACATGTTAGTGTAGCCTTAGAGCTTGCCCTATACTATAACAACTTTTTAGACAACTTTATTATAGCAAAAGATAACAGTCTCTTGTATTAGGAACCTCTAGATTAGTAGCTCTAGGTTAGTTAGCGCAACTATCCTGCACTCTTTAAGATAGCACTTAATTTTCTAAGTATACCTCCACAAGCTACAACTGCAAGAGAGCTTTTAGTAAAAGAGAAAGAATAGTTACTTATAACTATAATTATTTTTTAGGCTTTATAATTAAAGCTTTATAACTCTAGAAAAACTAGCTACATTATAAAGTTATTTTTAGTAAATTAAATAACCTTACTTACTATATTAAAAGTAAGGGGAACTTTACTACTTTAAAAGCTTTAACAGTTATGTTATAACTTTTAGTAAAATGTTAAAAAGTATAAGTAGCTTTAATTAAACTGTAACTTAATTATATCAACCCCTACTGTTAGGTAAAGTAAACAAAAATATATAATAAGTGAGACGTAACTTGTCTAGAAAGCCTAAGTCGAATCGTACTACTTCCTGATGGAAACGCTGCTGGTATTGGTGCGATCCTATCCGATGAATATCCGCCTCATGATCGCGGATTTCGAAGATATTAGTGAGGTAACAAGTGCACATACCATATACGAAAACAGATAAAGAACACAGATTGTCGGCATCGGGAACAGGCAATATTCCGGACCAACTTTTCCTCCTCGATATCTCTCTTGTGAACCATGGAGACGAGGATATCGACTGTTTCTGCCCATACTCTGGGGTCTTCGGCGTGGGGTGCCATCGAGATGGCGGTGAAGAAGAGTGGTAGACTTTAAGAAGGGGAAAGTAATGCATGAAGAAGGGGGACCTTGTCGAACAGGTTGCAGCACGATGTCGACCCCTTATAGTAATATGCATCTCTTGCGCCTCCTATCCGCGTACTGTTCCCCTTACACGACGCAACGCCACGAGCAGGGTTTCGAAGGCTATGGGCCTTTGTTGCAAATGGAGAGGTGGTGTAAGCATGCAGCTATGTAACAAGCTGATAAAGTGAAGTGCACCGCCTTGTGTTGTAAGTGCAGAGTATTTATTTACATCTATGATGGCAGCGGCAGCGAGGGTCATGGAAATGGCTAAGGGGCTATAGTGAAGGGAGTATGGGCTGTTGAGGCACGGGGAAGGAAGGTTTCTGTACTAGGAATGCAACAGCCTTCCCTTGTGGGAAATTGCACGGTAAAATGTTGTATCCGAGCCGCTGATTTCGCCACATCTACCAAACAGTGGCATCCAAGGCTGGGAGGTCTGACAGACATTGAGTATAGCCATACTATGATATATGACCTCAAGACGAGGCTTTCGGACATAGATTAACGACCCTTATGAAACGTAATGCGAGTTGAATTGGTAGCGCGAAAAGATGGAGTGATGATAAATCGCCGCAGTACGGACATTGGTAGGATTCCTGTGAGGATCTTTCCGTTATCTAGATGTATATCTTGTATTGCGATATATGGCGTCCCGGAGCGCACTCCAATTCGATGTCAGAGTTGCGTATTCACAGATTTTGTGAATTTGCTAGGCTGGCTCAGTCGACTTGCATGCATTGCCAGTATTTCTGTTCTAAATTTAATTTGTATCTCCCCAGAAGATCCTATAAGCGCCTCCCTAGACTCAAACTTCATGCTCAATGTCAGCTACTCTAGGGACTTTATGAAGTCGAAGCCTGCAGAATTTAGCGATTAGCTCAATCTGCAAACTGTCAGCATTGGTCCGAACAAAATGAACTGCTGCATACGCATTGCTGGATGGTTTCTACATCCTCCTTGCTTACTCCGATTCGCCTCGTACCACGGAGATGCCAACCTGTCTCGCGAGGCAAATTCTGGATCATAATGCCGGCCAGTACTGTGAGCTCCGTTTCGACGTCGTTGAGGATACTATGATCAGACAAGTATAAACCGTAACTAATCTCTTTACTGAGCCAATCTGTGAAGATCATCAGTAACAATGAGCAACAAAAAAAGCGCCTCGCGCTCACCAAAATCCTTCTGTGAAGAAAGTGTGTCGTCAATCTTTGCCTGATTGTGCTTGTATATTCGGTCTTGCCAGGCAAATCCGCGCTGGCGGTTTGCCTCGTCCGCCTGCCATCCTTTTCTGCGTAGCTCTCAGTGATTCTTCTCTAGTCAACTTCAGAGGTTTGTACCTTGAGAACGAATAGTCCTTATCCTCCGGTCTTGTCGCCGCATCTATATCGAAGATCGCCTCGAGTGGCTTGCACACGCCGGCAACGCATGCCAACTTCATCATGGTCTCGCGAATTCTTCGCATCAGAGCCTGTCGCTGATCCGAAGTTGAAAATTCAGGGCGCTGAATGAGCTGCAAGTACAGCGCCGGTGCAAATTCTGCCTGCCCTCCTCCTACCATCGCCGCAAACTGGACCCTTTATCAGCCCGGTCAAGAGAAATAGCAGGGGCATACCGTCACAATATACCACTTGTCATTTCCAAGAGTCTTCGACGGGAACTTCTCCTCCACGGCCTTGAAGAGCGTAATTGCCTCCTCAGCTGTTGGATCCTTCGGCTCACTCTTCGCGGCCATGGTGAAAATTAATGAATTGATGTTGATAGTTAAGATCAAATTGGCATAAAATTCTATCGAGATAACCGGAAGCTGGTTACACAACTCTGCCCTTGCCTCTGTAGGTGATCAATTGAGGGGTCGGAACATTTTCCGTGAACTAGCTAAGGATTGAGCGGGGTAGATGCGAACCCCACCGCTAAAGCGACGTCGGAGAACGCGGATGCTCCCCGAGTGATGCCCTTCCCGGCCCCTAAAGTTTAAGATCTGCTATTTCATCTCCTTGGAGAGCGTGTTTATTCAGCCGGTAATAAGGTCTGAACATCGGATTTGAAGCTGGCCTGGGATACGTAGACTCCTGATATAGGCCGACGTGGTCTTCTACCTAGGGATCAGACTCCGACTCGTAAACCCTTTTCTCGCCCTCTTTCTCTGATATTTCAAAACTCATGGCGGACCTTTTCCGTCTCGAAGATGGGTCACCAAAGACTGCCATCGTAACAGGAGGAGCTGGTGGGATCGGGGCCCAGACCATCCGGGCCTTCTGTGAGAAAGGATGTAATGTAGTGATCGCGGATTTGCCATTCGCCCAAGAGACGGCAAAACACTTGATATCCTCCCTTCCAGAGCCAAACCGCGCAATGTATCATCCGACAAACATTGTCAATTGGGCAGATGTGAAATCGCTCTACCGGAAAACCATCGAGAGGTTCGGCCAAGTTGACATAGTCATTGCGAACGCCGGTATAATGGAAAGCCAGGAGTTCTTCGACTTTGAGGAGGATGAAGATGGGGAATTGAAGGAGCCTGTAGACGCGTACCGAGTAATTGATGTGAATCTTAAGGGCACCAGGAACAGTAAGGTCTCCGAATTATATGGAGCCCAGTCTAATGGCAATTAGCACTCCGGTTAGCAATGTACTCGATGAAGTCTAATCCACCAGACTCGGATGGCGCGCGAGGTTCAATAGTATTCATAGCCTCGACGTCAGGATATTTCGGCGGAACAGGCGTCGTGTCATACATCTCCTCGAAGCACGGTGTGGTTGGCCTCTGTCGATCTTCTCAGCGCATCGCGAACCAGTTGCAGATACGAGTTAATGTCGTCGCGCCATTCTTCACGCCCACATATATGACTGGAGGTTACGCCACCAAATGGAGGGAAAGGGGGCTCCCGGCAAATACGGTCGAAGATGTGGCTACCGCAGTTGTGCGAACCGCGACGAACCCAGAGAGAAAGGGACATAGCGTTATGGTAAGTCATATGGCCAGACAAATGTGATGAGACAGTTTCTCATCCTAGACTAGGTTGCTGGGCGGGTGGTAAGGGAGATTGAAACAGCAAGAAGAGACTTGACGAAACAGTGGCTTGGTAATGAAATCGCGCAGATAATGGCGGACGGGGGGAAGTTCTTCGATGAGATGGGAGGGTATCCGCTGCCAAAAGCTCATGGATAGATAGATGTTGACAGGTCGAGATAGAATTTTAGAAGAATCTATAACTCTGAATGTGCTTAAAGCTGCCCTACGCATTATTGCGTCTCTATTATACTTTTTTTTCTAGAATTGTTAATGTCTATAACAATGCTAGCTAGTTACTGCAGTCTTTAAGTTTTTGTTTGTAATAGTATAGCTTTATAAAATTATAGAATTAACAACCTAACGTAGGTAGTAAGTAATCTAGCGCCTTAAAACTCTTCTTAAATATTACTAAAAGTAATTATAACATACACTATAGGCAAGTTGCTTACACAGCTAAGTTATTTACTTTTACTAAGACCTTACTAAACTACTCTTTCTATACTAATGCATTCCTAACAACGCTACTTAGACACGCTAAAAGAATGTTAGATACAGCTTATAATTTATACTTTTAAATAAAACATAACACTTTTAAAGTAATATACTATAGCTAATGTAACAGCACAGGCAAGACAATAGGTCCAAATGCGGTGGGAATTCACTTAGAGGCATATGGGAGTGCGTGGGGACTTAGAACCTGGGAATTTCCATTGACACCTATAGGCCTTGTACAAAGGATATCAGAAAACCACTAAGCTAGCTACAAGGGAGAGGTGCAACTAAATACATAATGGAATAGGGGTAACAGCAGGGGTTAGAGCAGAGTTAGGGCCAGGTTAAATCAGGGTCAGGGCCAATACAAGGGCCTTCTAGAGGTTCTAGGCTGCCTAAGATAAAACAATTTGTGAGAGTTGTTACACTACCCCTCCCCCCCTCTCTCTCTGTAGACTAATAGTCTCTATTAGTAGGTAGGAGTATTGCTGTTATGTCTTTTGCTTTCTTAAAAACTAAAACTAGTCTAATTTAGCTAGGTGTCCTTATTTTAAATTATCCTTCGCACTGCTAGCAGTGTCCTCTAAGCCAAACACTATGCGTGCACGCCTGCTCTAATAGTAATCTGTAGATGTCTAGCCTGCTACTAATTAAGACTTGCTATTTATTCCTAGCTATCTGTATAGTTATTAATCTTAGGCGTACGTTTAGTAAGGTAACATTTAGGTATTATTAAGGGTGCCTAAAAGGTCCTCTGCTATTAGGGTAGCAGAGATAATTTAAGGCATTACTAGGGGTAATTTAGTAGTTAATTAAGGTCTATTAGAACATGTTGCTGCAGATTAACTCTAAATTAGGTAGGGTATAGCTTAGCAAAAGCGTATTTAACTCTAGGGTTAAAGAGTAGTTAGTTAGACATTAGCAGTTGTCTCTAATTCTAATAAGTTATTAGTAGTCTCTAAGTTTCTACCTTAGCGTCTTTTTACAACTTTTCTAAAGGTAATTCTAATTACAGGGGATAGAAAGTTCTAAACCTAAAGGCTTTAGTTAACTAGAGGTTAATAGAATCTAGTTTATATAACTAAGTAATTTAATATAATAGTGTAAAAGATTACAACGTAAACTAAATTAGACACGCCTTAAAGGCTTAAATGTAGTTAAACAAACAATTAATGTAATATTATTATAAGGCTGTTACTAGCAAAAGTAAGTTTTTTAATATAATATAACAGCACAGGCAAGACAATAGGTCTAAATGCAGTAGGAATCTACTTAGAGGCATATAGAAGTGCGTGGGGACTTAGAACTTAGGAATTTCCATTAACACCTATAGGCCTTGTACAAAGGATATTAGAAAACTACTAAGCTAGCTACAGGGGAGAGGTGCGACTAAATACATAAGGGAATAGGGGTAACAGCAGGGGTTAGGGCAGAGTCAGGGCCAGGTCAAGTCAGGGTCGGGGCCGATACGAGGGCCTTCCGGAGGTTCCGGGCCGCCCGAGATAGAACGATTCGTGAGACTCGTTATAGCTATATATAAAGTTTTTTTAAAAGTTAATAAATAACTAACACACTAGATAACTTTTATAAGCTCATTTTATAGCTAACTTATAAAGGCTAGATAATAATAAAACGTAGGTAAGTATTAAGCATATACTTAAGCTATATATAAGAATTTTTCTCTTAGCTAGTAACTACAGCTAATATAGCTAATTCTTTAGACACTAAGTATAATCTAAGCTATATTAGCATAAACTAGTTTAGTATATTTATAAAGTGTTATTTAAAGCTTAAAGTAAAGGTTAAGTATAAGTATAGTTAGTAAATATCTAGCCTATTATAAAGCCTATTTTATTAAAGTTATATATGTTATTATTCTAGATACTATACTTAGCCTTTATATTATTTATAAAGCTAAACTAGCTTTAAATTACTTTAAGCTTTAAATAATACTTTATAAACTGTCACGGTATCCTCCCTAGATCCCAGACATAACTGTATTAGACGCGTACTAGAGTATTATTAGTGCACGTCTAACACAAACACAACACAACACAGACATAAACTTAAGCATAAACTGCCTTAACACTAACTAAACTTAGAATAGGCTTAATTTATACCTAAAGCGCTTAAACTTCTAAGCTAAGTATTTAATTACTAATTTCCTCTTAAACTTTCTTATTTCTTATATAATGTCTTGTACCTACTATAATACCTTACATAGTAATTAAACTAGACCTTTATAAAGCTCTATAACTTTACTTATGCATAATTATAACATTACATTATGTTAAAACTCTAGCTAAGAATAGCCTTTAAATCTAATTTAATAAGCTTAGTACTTATATAACTCTAAGCTATTAAAGTAAGCTAAAAAGCCTTTTAAAAAGCACTTACTTTATAAGAAAGCTACTACATTATAAGCTTAAAAGCTTTTTAAAAGGACTTTAAAAAATAGCTTTACATTATTAAGCAGTCTATTTTTGCCTTAACTTTTATTATAGTAGTAGGAACTAAGAACTTACTAGCCTTAAAGCCTACCTAGAAGTCTAGAGATAGCTTAACTCTTTTCTGTCTAACACTGCCTATAACTTATAACCCTTTTAACTTAGTAATAAAATCTAACTAACTCTTTAATCCCCTACTATTTAATAGAAAATAAAAAGACCTACTTTCCTTTTTACACAAGCTCTAATATAAACTTAAAGAAAATGTAGACTAATTCCCCTTTAAACGCTTCTAGTTACTATATGCCTACTTTTAACTTAACTATAATATAGTAACCTTAATTAACTTACTAATAAATAAAATATTATTAACTTAAATTAATTTATAGTGTTTTTATAAGTAACTTATAAAGACCTAAATAAAAAGTTAACAGCTTTAAGTTACCTAAACACTTTATAATAAAAAAAAAAGCTTTACTTTATACTTTACTAAGTTTTACTAACTTGCATCTAATATAGGCCTAAATAAAATAGGTCTAATTATAGCTTTATATAACTCCCTCTTAACTAAACTGTAACATGCTATAGTAGAAGAACCTCTTCTAAATAACTTTAACACGTATGCAAACCTAATTACTACTTATAATAATAATATAAGGTTCCTTTTTATACAAGCTTTAATACACCTCTAAACTAGCGCAGTTATAAATAAAAACTTTAATATAATAAAAATTAATTTAAATTATGCTTTAGTTAGTTCTAAAAAGTATAAAAATTATAAAAAAAAAAGTTAATGCTTTAAGTGTAGTAAGTATAGTTATATTTTTTAAAACTGCTTTATTCCTCTTTCTTAAGTCTACATAAGTAGCGCTGCTAGTACTTATTAAAAATTTTTACTATTTTAATCTTATTTTTATAAGGGCTTTAACTTATATTTAAGCTCTAATCTCTCTTACTACTTTTAACGCAGCTGCAGCTATAGCAGTAAGAGCCTATAAAAAAGCTTGTCTTAGAGCTAAGTTACCCTCTAAGACTAATTTAACACTAGATCTTTACTAACTTATAGGCTAAGTCCCCTACTAATAACTAAAAGTACTAAGTTAATATTTTTATATATTTATAATAAAAAACTATATTAGCTTTAATACAAGCTCTTATTAACTTAAAAGTAAATAGTATAGGTTACATTAACAAAGAACTAGCACATAAACTAAATTTTTAATTAACACTACTTACCTAAATAATTTACCTAACTAGATTTAATAAAAAATAACTTAAAAAAAGTTTTATTTTTTATACTATAACTATTATAATTACTTACTAACACTATAAAGAGCAGATTAAGCTTTATATAATAAATATAAAATGTTATAACTTAATTCTAGAACAACTATAGCTATATTAGCATAAAGTTGCCTTTAATTACTAAAAGTAAGTTCTAAACTTTAACTCTTTTTAATGCTAAAACATCTGCTTATGCTTACACCTAAACAACACCTAAGTAGCACTTAATATAGAAGGTCTCTAGACCTACTTTCTAATAACTTAAAAAAAAACTACCTAAGTAAGGCTAATAAGCTAGGCTACTTACTAAAATAGGCTATATAAAATAATTTAATAACTACTTAAACTTAAAAAAAAAGAAAGCTTTTAAAAAATCTTTACCTACTTAATTTAAACATAAACTAGGACTTAAACAGCAAATAAACATCTGCTACATAAAACCTGCCTTATTTATAACTCTAGCTTAATAACTAGATTATAAAATCTATGTAGTTATAATTTCTAATATAGACTAAGCTCTAGCTTTCTAAAAACGCACTAACTTAAGAATAATAGTCCTTTAAAACTACTATAACTTATTACATGTTTTTTTTAAGATAAGTCTAATAAGCTTTTAATATAATATTTATATAATTACTAAATAACTCTTAAGCCTAGTAAACAACCTAGTTATAGGCTACTATATAAAATGTTACTAAATAAATTAAAAGTGCTTTAAAAATACTTTAATAAAAACTTAAAAAAAGAGTTTATTTAAGCTAGCTTTTTACTAGTAGTGTTACTTATACTATTTATAAAAAAACTTAAAAGTAAGCTTTAATTTTATATTAACTACTAAAGACTAAATGCTGTTACTATTAAAAACTAATACTTAATTTTTTTTTTATAAGAAACCTTAAGCTAACTAAGTAAAGCAAAGTATTTTATAAAGTT